GTGTGCACTCCGCCCCTCCTGTCCCCTCCCACGGGTGACACTGGTGGGTGGGTATGTGTGCACTCCGCCCATCTGTCTCCTCCCACTGGTGACACCAACACACTTGGCAAACTTCACAGTGGTGGCGTTCCGAGGCACGAATCCCGTGTGGAACTGGACCTGAAACATCTTCATGGACGCCATCTGCCGAGAAAGCAACGGGGGACAACAGGCCCGCAGGTCAGACACTTTTCAGTCAACAGGGCTGAGAGCCTCGTGCACGGCTGGGGACACATGGATGGCACCCTCCTGACAAGTGGCTTCTCGGATCTGTGGGAGGAGAGCCTCCAGCCCCCACCCAGATGGCAGACCCGTGGTGGGGGCGCCCCAGGAGTGTGGGCTCACACCTCTTGCCTCGTGCTTTGAGGCGGGACTAAGAAGGCAGCTATGGGAGGGGAGGGGAGGGGCGCAAGCTCAGTCCCTGCATGAGCCCAGCCCGCGTGCGACGGCTCACCTTGGCCTGCAGTCGTCCGCCAAGGGTGGACCTCGCGTGGTAGATGGCAATGAGCACGTCCCCTTGGACAGTTGTACCCAGGGGAATGACTGCTTTGCCGTCCTCGATTTTAAAATCCCTGGAAGACAGAATGACGAGAACTGCTCACTTAAGACAAAAACGTAACGTTGTGACGAAGTCAGCCCCAAGCTCTCCAGAAGCACCCTGCCTAAATCCACGCGTTCTTACCTTTCTGGTTTTGCTACCAGACTATTTCGGGGAGGGGCTGGGGGTAGTCGGGCTGGTTCCAGTAAACCAGTAAGCAGCGAGCCCACAGCCTGACAGCGTGGGGACTCGCTGCATGCACCGGCCACCAGGCCCGGGACCAGCCTGCCACACGGCGCACGACCTGGACCTGAGGCTGCACGCACGCCCCCCACAGCGCAAACCCCTTCTGCTTCCCAGAGGAATGAGGGTGACACGTGAGGGTCCTGGGGTGAGGGCGGCCCTGAGCTGAGCTCACCGCATCTTGTCGTACTCCTGGGAGGTGGTGGCCACACGCTCGTCCCCCACATAGACCTCGCAGAAGGGCCTGCAGCCGCTCCTCTGCTTGTTGAACAGCGGCACGGGCGTCATGACGACAGCCCGCACCAGGATCGGCTTGCTGTGGGGCGTGATGGGCTCCTCTGCCACCATGTCACACATGTACTCGATGTACCTGCAGGGGCAGGAGGCACGGCATGTCACACGCAGGCTCTGTGCAGTCCACACGCCTCATCACACATGTTGTACGGTCCACACGCCTTACCACACGTGTTCTGTGTACAACCCACACGCCTCATCACAGCTGTGCAGTCCACACGCCAGGCCACACACGCGTGCTGTGGACAGTTACATACCAGACCCTTTCGATCAAGTACAAGTGTTCACCGCTATCAACTTCCCTTGAAGCCGCGTCCTCGTCCCATCGCCCAGATCTGATGATCCAGTTTTCATTCAGTTCGAAACACGTTTACATTTCCCTTCAGACCCCTCTTTGATTTGTGGGTTATTTAGAAGTAGACACTGACATACTTAGGGATTTTTCCAGCTATCTTTCTGTTGCCAATTTCTAGTTTAATTCTGTTATGGCTCACAAACATATCTTGTATGATTTCCATTCTTTTCCGTTGGCTGTGGTTTCATGGCTGAGTATGGCTTTCTCACTGAATGCTCTGTGTGCACCTGAAATGAATGTGCCTGTTGTTCTGGAATGCTCTTAAAGGTCAGACAGGCCTGGCCAGTAGGAGGCAGTGTTCGGTTCCATCCCTGTTCCCTTGTCACTGTGAAAGGGATGCTGAGGTCTGCACTGCATTTCCACATGCACTGTCGTGGGAACTGCTCACTTCTTCCCACTCTCTGTGTTCTGCTACATGCATGTGGGATGCCCTCACACGTGAGCTTGGGCTCCTGCCTTCTTTGGCACATGTCCCCACAGAGCCCTTTGTGGCTCCCGCTAGAGCGACAGTCCCTGCCCCTGCTCTTGACACATGCAGCCACGGTGACTTGCTTCAAAACAGAAGGGAGGAAGGGAGGTCACTTCTGTGCGGCTGTCACACACTCTATCTGGCTAGCTGACCACCATCAAGATGCAGGACGCCAGACCTTCCATCCACAGCCGCCAGCCAGAGTGGGCTGGGACGCAGGTTCGCAGTGAAGGGCAGCACTGGCTCAGAGTCCAGGTTGTGTGAGGCCACAGTGGGGGGGCCTAGACCGGCCCGGGCCCCAACCGCGGCACCGAAATGGGAATCGGGCAGTTGTTCTACTGGTCATGCAGCTACTGACCCTCAGTCTCCCTCCAGCTGTGGCCAGAGCCGTCCCCGCCCTCTGGCCCAACGGACGGTCCAGAGCTCTCCTGCTTTCCACCCGCCATTCACATGGATCCGTTCACAGTCTGGCTGCTTGTTTCTGCCTCTTCCAGCTGTTCTTGTATTGACCGAGCTCCTCTTCGCTTTTGTTTCATTTCCCTGTGACACACTGATTAACTCAGCACTTTTTTTTTTTAAAGATTTTTTTTTAATTGGGGAATTGGGGGGATGGGAACAGACAAGTTGCTGTCCTTTTGTTCTTCACTCTAGTTGTGGAGGACGTTGCTTCACTGGCCCAAGTTGGCACCATCATTGCGCTCTTCCTGGGCGAGGCAGATCAGTCGCCGGCCTTTGGACGGCCGCTGGCTACACACAGTAGCCCATGGCAACCCACTGCAGCAGAGGCTACAGCCTACGCCGTCGCCAGTGACTCACGGCAGCCCAGCTCCAGATTAAGCTGTTGTTCAGCATCTTAGCTGTAGAGGGCAGTGTCACTGGCCCACATATGTGAGATCCGAACCAGGGCCCTGTGGCGTCCCAAGCCAGCTCTTAACCAACGCGCCACTTGGCCAGCCCTAACTCAGCACTTCTGACCGCGTCTGCTGGGACTGGCATCTTATTCGGCTGCTCCGAGTTTCCGGTGTGGTTTCAGCACTGAGCAGGGCTGGGCTTCCTGTGCTTTGTTTTCCATCCCGCTTGGTGTCCTGAGTCCCAAGCTTCAGCGCTGTCACTAACTTGGGAAAATCCTCAGTGACTGCCTCTTCGCTGTCTCTGACGGGTCTGGCTGCTCAGTTCCCTTTCAGTCCTCCCCTCAGTGGCTGACAAGCCTGTCCTCACACCCAGCATCTCCACGTGACTCTCCCTCACCGTCCCCATCTCTGCAGAGCACCTGGCCCACAGCTCCCGCACGTGTGTCGCCCACCTCCTCCGGTAGCGTCTTCAACACGTGACTGAGTTACTTCAGTTTCCCACAGATAGTTCCGGGTCTTGTGTGCTGACTCTGTTCCACTGGGAGGCCCCTCTGGCCCTCAAGCGGGGGCACTAACTTCCATCTCCAGCCTCCGGGGTCACTGAGCAGAGACTCAAGAAGGCCAACTCCCAATCTCCACAGCCTGACCTGCTGAGCACTGACTCTGCCCGTCCCCACGCCCTGTGGATGCTGCCTTGCCTCAGATTCTGTGCTAGCCGGCCGCTCTAATGACCGGCTGCTATTCAACAGGTTTGAAGAGTCATGAGTCTGAGTTGGTCCCGCTCTCTTCTAAGTAGTCAGGGTGGGAACAATGCTCCACACGCCTGCACATCTCAAGGAAGCAGCCTGTGGTTTGGGTGGGGGTCTGGGAGCCAGGCACGCATCAGCACTAACAACCTCTTCCTGGCTCCGCCCCCGACTGGGGGCCTCTGCTCAGCCAGCTCAACCTGGGAACCCTTGATGTACTTGGAACACGAAAGCAAAAACAGGTCCTAGGTCAACATGTAAACAGGTTCAGCAGTCCAACACTTTGCTTGGTGGCCTAGCCCACTTCCCAGCCTTTCTGCATGAGCAACACAGAAGACACAACTGCATGGCCGGCTCTCTGGGTGGGCAAGGGACACAGCACTGCACCACACCCTGCCCCCACACAGCGAGGTGGCCCCACAGGCTGGGCGAGCACCTAGGGCAGAAGGAATGGCCTTAAGGACCCCTTGCTGGCCTGGACACCTTCCCTTTCTTCCTGCAAGAAGCAAGGAAGGCAGGAGCGAGGGAGGCCCCAGTCAGAACGGCCACTCCTGCTGCAGGGAGTGAACAGAAGTGGGGACAGTGACATGAGAAGCCAGCCTGGTTGGGAAGGGAGGGGCCTCGGGAGTGAGGGAGCAACGCAGGCAGGGCCAGCTGCAGCCACGGGAGCCCATTTCCTTTATGATGTCAGGTGACGCAGAGCAACATGAAAACCCCAAGTGACCCTGGTACAGTACCCCTGACAGCAGAGGACAATGCTGCTCCATGTGCACATCAGCTGACAGGCGTCACTCCCCCCAAAAAAACCACCAAGCCCCCTGCAGGGGGGCTCCTGGCCCAGCCTGGCCAAGGGGCCCGGGTCCCCATCTGCACAGTACAGCATGGACAGCGCAGGGCAGGGCTGGGATCATGAGGCCGGAGTCCCACCCCACACCACACGGCCCACAGCCCTTCCCCAAACGCCTCCCGCCTCCCAGGAACCACAGCACGAGCGGCACCCCCGCAACACGGGGGACACTGCCTCCAACGTCCCACAGGGGGACGCGTGGTACCTTTTGTGAGACGGCCAGATGCCTGGCGGGCAGCGCTTCATGCTGAACATGTACACGGCAGCCTCGGCGGTGCTGAAGAGCCGGCAGAAGCACAGGAAGGAGCAGACGGCCACGGCTGACGCTGCTCGCCCGTCCTAGGGCGCAGAGCAAGACAGGTCACGGGCCCACGCGAAGACGGCCAGCTTCCCACCCGCCCAGCTCCCGAGGGGGTAGCAGGGCCCTGCCTGGCTGGGAGTACATTCCGGAACTGACAGAAACGCACCTGATGAGGTGAGAGTCCAGTCCAAAAAGAAAAAAACAAAAGATGGCCAGCGTCTCCAACTGGACGCTGCTCACGCTCAGTGTCCCCCCGGGGCTCATGCTCACCCTACTGAATCCTTGTCCTCACTGCTGCTGTGATTTTTATCAACACAGACGGCAGCACTAACTCTCAAGTGCTCACACTGTGTGACACCCACAAACCTAAGCCTCATTGTGCAGCTGGAGGCCTAAAAATAAGGCTGGTTCTCAGCTACAGTAAAAAGGAACAAAGTCGGGGTCCCACGAGGCAGAGCGGCCAGGCCGAGACCCCCTGGGTGCTGCTTTGCGGAAAGATGAGAGTGCCAACAAGGACCCCGCACGCTCCATAAAGAGTGGGGCACTACCTGTGTGGGCTGTCTTCCCTGAAAAGCACCTGCTGCGTGGGGAGACAGGTGTGTGCCAGAGGGCACAGCGCCTCCACTGCCCAGTGAGGGCAGCTTCCACTGGGCCGGGGAATCTATGCCTGTGGGGACACCAGCTCTGCAGGGGCACCAGCCCTGTGGGAGCACCAGGCTGGTCGGGCACCAGGCCTGGGGCCACTGGCTGCAGACATGGGGGCAGAATCTGGTCCTGCCTGGATGCCAGGAGTCCACGTGGTAGCCCAGCGCCACCTGCAGGCTCGCACGTGTGCCCCACACCCTGCCCTGCGCTGCTGCTACGAACACCGAACACCGAGCCGCCCCCACCCTTCCCGGCACCGCCTGACACCTTGGGTCTCACTTGGATCCCATCCCTGTGGCCACCCGGCAGCCCCCCTGGTTTATGTCCTGACGGCCAGCCTCGCACTCACCATGCAGTGCACCACGCACACGTTCTTGTGGTCCTGCCGGAGCCAAGCGTGCATGTTCCTGCAAATGCTGTACAGGCTGTGAAGGTTTGGGGCCCGCCTGGCCGCCCAGCCGCACTCGGAGACCTGCAGGGAGCGAGGTGGGGGCTTGGCTCATCCAGGACTCCCGGCACTCTCAGGGCAGGGGCTCCGGGTCACAAGTGCCCACCCCGCCAGATGACTCCTGCCCCACCCCCTGCCCACAGGGGTCTGCAGACCCAGCTCGCGGCTCCTGCAAGCCCCGCCCCAGTTCTCGCAGGCCCCACCCCCGGCTCCCAGACCCCGCCCCTGGCACCCATAGCCCCGCCCCTGGACCCTACAGGCCCCGTTCCCGGCCCTCCTGGGTGCTGCAGCGCCCACGCCAGGCCATTGCAGACTTGGCAACCACTTGGAGCCGCCCTCTCCCATGCTTGCAAAAACGGTGTGTCTCCAAGGCTCATTTAACAAAAAAACCAGGTGGCCTCAGGTTCGCTCACAGGCCAGAAGCAGTGAGGCACTGCTGGCTTCCACAATCCTCAGCTGACACAATTAAACCACCCATCTTCCTCTTCAGTTGCCTTCAGAAGACCTCGCCCCTGCCACCCGCTGTACGCAGACCCTGTGCACCCCCGTGGCATCACTGCCCTGAAGACTCCCAACCCCACTGTCAGAGCCGCAGGCTACACTGGCTGCCAGTGCCCGGGGATGTCAAAGGTCAGTGCAGTGCCATGGCGAGGCTGAGGACCAGCCCTAAGAGGACTCACCCGGTTGTGAAACTTGGAGTGCCGGTACGTTCGCGGGGACAGGTTGTATACCGCGTAATGGCCAGGGTGCTTGGAATCCAGAAACAACCGCACATCTTCTATGTTATTTTTGATAGCTGACTCCACACCTTCTGCCGGAAACGACATCACTGCAAGAGAGCAGCCACATCAGCTGCCTGGGGGGTCCACGCACAGCGAGCACATGCTGCACAGCCGCCCCTCTGTTCCCAGGCCTGTCTGGGGCCAGGATGGCCTCCCGCAGCCTCTCCAGCCACCGGTTGCACAGCTGGCCACACTCGGGCCCCTGCTTCCTGCCCTCCCACAGCTGGTGACAGGTCAGTATAGTGGATGCTGACAGGGGTGGAGCTGAGACACCCCCCCCACCACACCCCCTGCTAACGGTCTGTCAGCCATTCACAAGGAAGACCCTCTGGGCCTCCAGATGGTGCCTTCAGCCAGAAACTCGATGCACAGCAGGGTGTCCACGTATACAGATCTTGTTTGTAGTTTGGATTTCTAACTAGAGACCCAAGTTTTATTGTAAATGTGCATGGCCTTGCATCATTCTTCTCATGACCTCAGAGTTCCAGAAAGTTCCAGATAGGAGATAAGCTGGGTGGACACTGGCACTGTCTGTCACAGGGCATGGAAGTGCACTGGACACATCTCCTAGGAGTGAGTGGCTCCCCTAAAGGCATAGTCCCCTCCCCTGGTGGCCACACCCTTCATGCCCCACCTGACCCTGCAGCAAGGGTGCGCCAGAGACCAGCATCCCATCACCCACCTGCATACAGGGAGAATCAGAAGTGCATCCTATGCTTACAGCTGGCAAACATACCTGCAATTCGGGATGTGATGTAAGATATGTCCAAATCTCCCTTTGCATAACTGGAATTAAAGGAGCACTTGGTTACGGCAGGATATTTGTACAGTTCAGTCACAAGAGCTTAAACTAGATCGAGTCCTGGGGAGGCCATGGGGGGGGGAGGGTTTGTCACGGTTCAGACTGCATCTCGTGGGGAACACTGTATGTGCATGTATGTGTGTGCATGTGGCTCACGATGTGTGTCAGTATAGTGTCTACACGTCGGTGTGCATGCATGCATGAGTGTCTACACAAGAGGTGAAGGAGAAATAATAAATTGCAAGTGGTGGGGAGGCAAGGACCCAATAAAAGGATTCTGACTCTCAGTGCTATTCTACTCTAAAGAGGAATGCCACTAGGAGCTGGTTTTGAAGGGAGACAGTGATGGACCACAGAGCTTTTGACCAGCATACCGTGTCTGGCCATGGGGAAAAAAACAACAAGGCACACCAAAGGCAAAGACACTGTGTGAAGACACAGAGCAGCATCCAAACCACATGTGGCAGGGGTGCTGGGAGTATCAGGCCAGGAATTTAAAACAACTATGATGAACATGCTAATGGAGAAAGTAGACGGCATGCTAGAACAGATGGGCATCGGGAGCAGAGAGACGGGAGTCCTAAGAAAGAACCAAAAGGAAATGCCAGAGAACGAGACACCACGGCAGAAACGGAGAATGCCTGTGATGGGCTCAGGGGAGAATCTCTGCGCTAGAGGATACAGCAAGACCATGTTTCCCCGAAAATAAGACCTAGCTGGGGAATAAGCCATAGCATGATTCCTCCAGGATATGGAGGGCACGTACCCCTCACATGAGGGCTTTATGGTCTGTTTCAGGGAGAAGGGTGCCTTTTCCAGAAACTCCTTCAGCTTAAAATATTCAGTATGCCAAGGTGCCACATTTTGGCACCTAAAATCATGCGAGGGCTTACTTTCTGGCTAGGTCTTATTTTTGGGGAAACAGGGTAAAATCGTAGAAAACCGAAAGCAAAGAGTAGAAGCTGAACAAATCAGACAGTGTATCCAAGGACTGTGGCACAACTATAGAAGGTGTGACGTACGTAATGGGGACACCAGAAGAAGACAGAAGGAAGAGGAGAAATATTTGAGACAATGCTGACTGAGCATTTCCCCCAAAATGACGTCAGACACCAAGCCATGAATCCAGCAATCTCAGCAACACCAATTAGTATAAATACCAGGAAAACTATGCCTAGGCATATCATACAATCTGCAGAAAATCAAAGATAAAGAAAAAAACCTGAAAGAAGCCAGGGGGAGAAACACCATACCTATAGACGAATGACGGAAGAATTACACCGACTTCTCCTCAAAAGCCATGCAAGTAAGGAGTAGAATATTTAGTGTTAAAAGAAAAAAACCACCAACACAGAATTCTGTGTCCTGTGACATTATCCTCCAAAAGTGAAAGAAAAATAAAGATTTTCTCAAACAAAAATTGAAGGAATTTGTTGCCAGTAGGCCTGTCTTGCAAGAAATGTTGTTAAAGGTTCTTTAGAGAGAGAAAATAATATAAGTCAGAAACTCAGATCTACATAAACAACAAAGGCATATAAAAGGAGGAATAAATGGAAGTAAAATAAAAATGTTTATTTTTTATTCCTGATATATTTGTTCGAAATAAGAATGGCAACAATGCATCCTGTATGTGTGCTTATGTACACATTTTACATGTGTGTGTATGTGTGTGTGTGCGCGCGCTCATGTGTGAGATTAATGACAGCAATGACAAAGGGGGACAGGAGGAAGGAATCAGGACTACAGTGGTGACACAAAGTACTCCCAACCCACCAAGTGGCAGTGTTATGCGAGAGTGGGCTTGGATTAGCTGTAAATGTATGTGCAAACCATAGGGCAACCACAAGAAAGGCTAAAAAAAAGACATACAAGGTGTGATAAAAAACACGGTGAATGTTTAAATTAAAAAAAATTATTCCAGTAAAAGACACATTGCCATTCATCCCGCTCAAAATACTTCCCTTCGCTTCAAACACACTTATCCCACCATGCCTGCCACTTTCTGAGACAGTTATGGAAGTCCTCTTTCGTGAGTGTCTTTAGCTGCGCTGTCATGGCTGCCTCAATATCCTGAATCATTTTGACTTTGGGGGAAAAGCCAGAAGTCATACAGAGCCAGATCCGGTGAATAAGGTGGATGAGGACACACCGTAATGTTTTTATTGGACAGAAATTGTCATATACCAGAAGCGATGTGTGACATGGAGTGTTGTCATGATGGGGGATGATTTACAATGCACTTTATTTTTTTTATTTTTATTTTTTTTAAAGATTTTTATTGGGGAACTTGGGGGGATGGGAACAGCGCTGGGGAATTGGGGGAAGGGGAACAGACAAGTTGCTGTCGTCTTGTTCTTCAATCTAGTTGTGGAGGACGTTGCTTCACTGGCCCAAGTTGGCACCATCATTGCGCTCTTCTCTGGCGAGGCAGATCAGTCGC